ATATATTTTAAATGAATTAAAAGAATTAACTATTTAAAAAATTAGGTAAAATTATACTAGAAAATAATATTAAAAAAGTTATTCCAATTATTTTTCTTGAAAAAATGTTAAAAAGTAAAATAAAAAAAAAAAAGCTGCACCAAGTCCAGTACGACAGTGGACCCTACAACAACATAAACTCGGTTAAGTTTGGACGGAATGATGACATCAGCCGTTGGAGAAGGGCTGATTTGTCACCGTTGACGGGTTTAAGGGGTCATATGGTACTGTTTCAGTTTAGGGGCTTTTTTGTTACCTCTCAATAAGTTTAGGGGGTAATTTGCATGATTTGCCTTTTCTATAGCATTTCATTATTAAATAAATAATGTAATTTATGTTATATCATTAATTTCAAATTTTAATGTTGAATTTTAATATCATTTATCATTACTCTTTGTATGATGGTAGATTTTAAGTTTAATATCACTAACAATCCTTCAATTTCACCAAATTTTTTTTTTTTTTTATGTGAGGGGTGCACACCCGGGTGTGGGATCCGGGTGTGCACCAATCACGGTCCTAACCACTAACATTCTGTTTCCTAAATAATTGAACTAGTTTTCAGGCTTTCTCCTCTCTGCTTCATTGGATAAGTTTACATGTACTAAGAGTTGAAAGAATCTCAATAGGCTAAAATCCCACCTTCTTTCACTATAATTATTTAGGCAAAACAAAAAACACATCTTTACTTTTCATGAAATTTCAAAAGAGAAATATCTCAAACGGTAAATGCTCAAGTCAAGGAAACAAGTTATATCCCCACTTGAAACAATCTGGATTGTTTTTGAGGGGTTCAGGAAGGTGCTGGTGCTGATGAAAGGATAGATAGTTGAAAGGGAAAGTTAGCTCTCTCCACCCTCCAATTTAAACTATATATTTGCCCTTAAAATGCCTCTAGAGTCTATACCATGCAAAACTGAAGAGGCAAAAAAATATGATGCAGTGGTAAGGTGACTACTTGCTTCACTAGTTCCATGGTAAAAAATGAAGAGTATCCACATTGCTATTAAATATTGAATATGTATGAACCTGGATAGATGTGAGTATAGCTGCTACATCATATATTGGACTCCACTGATTTTGTAAAATATCCAAACAAATACTCCCATCTGCATAAACTGACCAAGTTCAAAAGACTTACGTCAGAACCATTTGTCAACTGAGGCTTAAGACAAGGAAACAACGTTAGAAAATTTCCAACAGCAACTTACTATTTGGATGAAACATTCGAGAAACAAATCGAACAGTTGGAGGTTTGTTTGGATAATCTTCAGAGAATTGAAGAGTCAATTTAAAAGTACCTGAAGAACTCAAAACAATATTTTTTCATGAAGGTTCAAAGGCAGTGAAAATTATGTACGGAGGAATAAGCATAAAATTTATCAAATTAACATGAAAAGAATACAATTGTTCAATGATCTTTTCCTATCTGAACTTTCTGCTAAGAACACTAAATAACTCAATGACTGAAGGAAAGTGTATGTTATCCTTCCAGTGCTAGAGATCTATATTAGAACAAGAATGACAGATATAACATACGAGATGCTATACGCAAATGCTTTCTATCATAGTATCATGCATAAGTTGGAATCTTTTGAAAGTGATAGCTTCAGGGCAAGGGTTACTCACCTCCATCCCATGGAGTATCATCAGGACTGCAATCCAAATCAGACAAGAAACCAGAAATGCCTTATCCAACCATACTCAATATACTGATAATTAAAAAGGGTAAAATAAATACTCTAAAGTCTAAACAAGCACAAGAAAACATATTGCCTAATTTCATTGCCAACATACCCAAATATCACCGCATTCCAAAGCATTATATTGTTATCTTGAGGTGCCCCACTAATACCGGCAGGTGGATCTTGCTGCAACCTCTTAAAATCTCTCATTAGCCTCTTCCTTGCAGGAGTCGACATTTCACCACTACAAGCCACAAGAAGAAAAATATGTAAAATAACCTCATTTCATCATTATCATTTTCTTAATCTTCTAGTATAAGTAATAATTATAAAAAAGAGAGTAGTTCATGAACCTATCTAAGTACACACAACATACAAAAAGTTCACAAACAATTTCGAACTGCAAAGACGAGAAAAACAAACAACTATTTAATTAACTGCGACCTGAATCGTCTTTTCCTCAAGGAAAATTAAGTGCTCTAATTCATTCATCAACAACAATAATTAGTCCATAACAACAGGGCAGAGGGAGGGACAATATTCAAATCCTCCCCTTACTTGGCTTTTCAAATGCACAAACAAATTGGTATATGTGTGTATATATACATATTCATTTTTTCAGCTAATTCAGCATTGAACGAGACATAAATGACTAAATGAACAATTTTTCATGTATAAATCCGGAACATGCAAAGCTTTATACAAATTGAAACTACAGAAACAACCACCAAAATCAATCAACCTAATTCCCCAAAATTCCATAGGATTAGGGTTTGCCCACCTCATAAAACACAGAATTCAAATCCTTCCCTCTACCTTTACCCGGATCTAATAACATACACAAAGTTCCAACAAAAAAAAAGGAAAAAGAAAATCAAGATCAATCTTTTACCTTGAAGTAAACCCAATTGAGAAGCTACGAAAACCTTCCACAGAGAAAGAGAGATGGAGGAAAGCTAGGGTTTCGATACAATCTGCAATTGAAAGGGAAGAAGAAGAAGAAGAAGAAGAAGAAAACAAAAGGGTGAAAATGGAAGAATATGAGTGGAGGTGAACAAAAGAAGAGAGAAAGTTAAAGAGAGAGAAAAGGAGGAAGAATCTGCAAATTGCAACGGAAGCTACTCCTAAAATACAAACAAATGAATTCCTATTTTTTTCGTTGGAATTAGTAGACTTTTAGCTGTGCAAGTCTGTTTATTTAATTACGTAACTTCATTTTATATGTGCAGTACCACAAACGTCATAGATAAGTAACATTCATTAGATTCTATTAATATTGATTAATTTTGTGCAAGAGTAACGATGGAGAATAAAAATTTGAGGTGAGAATTAAATATTAATGGTAGTAATTTATATTATATTATTAAATTAGTTAATATATATAATATTATAAATTTTTAAAAAATAAAAAATTAATTATTAAATAATATAAAATTTATTTTTTAATATTTTTAATAAAGTGATTTATATTTTAATGAGTGATTTAATAGTTAAAAATTTAAAATTTAAAATTTAAATTTTAAGTCAAATAAAAAATTAAAAAAAAAAGAGAGAAGAATTATCTCATTTTCGATAAGCATATCATGCAAATTAGCCCTTGAACATGTCAAGAGGTGACAAAAAAGCCCCTCAACTGAAATCAATAGCAAATGACCCCTTAAACTCATGAACAGTGGCAAGTCCACCCTTATTTAATAGTCATCTCAATATTTCGTTAAAAACTAACAGTCCTCTAATATGAATGGATGCATAGCTTATTCGGATGCAATATGACCCATTGAAGTCTGACATGGCTTCTCATGTCATTAAATCATTATTATTTTTGAATTTTTTTAATATTTAATTAAGATTTAATTACTATAATTTTTTATACGCTAAAATTTAATTATTTATAATGAAAATCAATTACATTAATTAAATCTCAATTGTTACTTTATCAAGCAAACAAGAATTGAAAATTTCATATCTTATAGGATGGTTTCACAACTAAGTAAAATCTCTTTTTATTCATAAAAATTATTTTAATTTAAAAAATTATGAGAAACTAATTGTAAAATTAAAATTAAAAAAAAAGTAGTCCGAAGGAAGAGAAATAAAGAAGTACAAAAATTACATAAACTAATTTTTTTTATATAAATTAATTATTAAAATGTGTATTAATTACATCTAGGTTAGATAAACTATTATTGAATTTTTTTTGTTACTTATTCTTTTAAGGAATTTTTTAATATGTGTTCCA